CGTTCAAGCATGCGCGAGCGATGAAGCGCGCGTCGCGGGAAAAGGCACGCTTCGAAGAAAAAAAAAAAAAAAAAAAAAAAAACGGTGAAACATTCTCCCGATGGTGCAGGTGGATGGATATTATCGGATTATCAATCGGACACATTGCACTCGTGCAACATGACGCTCGATCGCGTTAGGTTAATCGTGTTATTATTTAAAACCCGTTACATAACGTGCCTGCCTGACTTCCCGACTCGATGACGTCTGCGTAAATGTTGTATGCATTGGTGTATGCGTATTGTATCCAACAGGGATGCTGGTAATATTTCCCGTTGGGCTGGCTACTGTACGACAAATTTTAATCAAAGAATAATATTGTAAGAATCCCGGCTCGAGATCCCAATTTGTAGGAATTTTGATAAAAGAATGGTTGTCTATTTTAGGTTATGTAAAAGAAAATTTGTTTAATGATGATTATAAAGTGACGTTTTACACTATTTCCTTGATTACTAAACTCGCTAGGCTCGTAACTCTCTTCTCTCTCTCGCGCAACTCTCAACTTACTGTTTTCTCTCTTTCACGGCTCGTTCACTCTGCTCTCTCTGGCTTTTCGACAGTCACTCCGTTCTCTCTGGCTTCTCGACACTCACTGCCCTTTTTCCTCGTCTGCCCAAAATTCGACATTCCTACACACATACACAAACGCATCCATCCCTTAGTGTCTTAAGCTTTAGGCCTGGAGGGCTAGCCATAAATAATCTCAAGTCCCAGGCCTAACTTTCTCTACTGTTTATGCTACACCATTTGGGACATTTGCAGTCGTCGGGCACTGGAGAAAGTTCTGGGCCCTTTCCTAGAATTTGCCCATCCCACAATATGAAAAATAATAATAAGCAAGTGCATATATTACGAGTCTACACACACACACACACACACACGTGTATATATATATATATATATATATATATATATATATACATATACACACGTATATATACGTATATATACGTATATCGATACATCAATTCCATAATAAATCTCGAATTTTTGTTTTCAAACGAAGCGGCAGTCGCCGATCGAATATCAATAATATCTGCTTTTGAAAGGGAAAAATATTGGGTGAGAGGAAAACTGCGGAAGTGTTCCAAGTGATCCATGTAGACTCTGCATATTCAAAATTGTAGAAAAGTGGAAGCCAATAGATCAATCGGATCTCTCGGTATACGTAGAATATCTCGCGCGTTTACCGCAATACGTTGCCAGACACGAAGGAAACCGGAACAATATTTTACCAGCAACGACTCGTGTATTCTCTCTAACGATCCTTCCTTCGACCTGGCACGAATTTCCGTGCGTGCGAGCGCGAAAACCCAAGACACGGCAGAGAGAGAAGTATATTGCTAGGTACTAGGCGCTGAAGGGGGTGGCATCGGACGAAAATTAATAACGGGCGCGTATATCGGTGATGTATCCGGGCCGTGTTCAGGGACTCCCCGTGGACTCTGCTGATGGAGATTTCGAGAGGAGGGAGGATAGGAGAGGGGGGGGGGGTGCATTTGGGTGGTGGTACACGATGCTGACTGAACGTGCCATCGACTGAATTATTGTACTCGGGGATCCCTAAATCATAAAAACGACAAATTTCACACGGCTGTACGTGCGTTGTGTTCTAAAACGTGCATGCTCGGTCCGTCGCCATGCTATTTACGTATTTTTATACGGACACAGCAGCAGGCAACGGACACCATTTTTTGAATCGATTGAAATATGGAGCCACGGAGATGGTGGGCCAGCTTAATGAAAAATGGTAACTTGAGGGTAGCGGGATTTGCGCGTTGTACGATGCTCGTGTACATGCTTCAGGTTGAACTGGCTTGATCCCTCTGAACCCTTGTCATGCGTTGTCACGCGACGCCCCCATCGAAATGTTTCTCGCCGAGCTTGATCCACCAGACTCGTTGGGAAAGTTTCACGGAATGGATATTAATGATCTCGCGACAGCAGATGTGTTAACGTTGAGGCTGAAAATGCTTCGCTGTATATCGCGTACGCGTTTTCACGGGTAGTTTGTCACGCGTAAAAAATTTCACTCGAAATTACACGCGTGTGCGCGCCGATAACTTTTCGAATATTTTACAAATACGATTCGAAAATGGTCGCGCCGGGTATCGATTCTATCGGTCTAGGAATGCGGCTCTGTTTGTTCCGAAATGTACATAAACGTGGAAACAAGTAATTGAATCGAATGTGCAAGGAAACCGCGCGTACCCATTCGACTGCAGAAGCAGATGACTGGGAGCTCCCCGTTTACACGATCTAATACGGATTTGTCAGCACACGATTCCCAATCTCCCCAAAATCCGCTGAAATCTGCGATTATCGTGCGCAAGAGAAAGCCCGAGGCTCGAACTCTATTTGAGGTCGATCCAGTTTCCGACGGTGCGTCCTGCTAGATTTGGGTTTCCGGCCGTGGTACCCTCTCGAGGCATCGAATCGTATGGTCGAATTTGGGAGCATACCACGGCTCGAACAATGCTGCTTGCAGCTAGATCTGTAAAGTCCTCTCAATTATACGGCGATGCTAATTACTCGCGAGTGCGCATTGAAGAACGCCCTTTAGTCCGCACAACGACCCTTCACAGAGCTAGGTCTACCCTTTCATTCTCTCCTCGTTATATCGGCCAAGGATGAAACGGAATTCTTGATTGGACCCGCTGTTTGTACGATAATTCACTCTCTTCCATAACCGCGCTTTTACTTCTTTCCTTGTAACTTCCAAATCTAATCCCTTTCGCAGAAAGTTTAATTTTTCTGCTTGTATACAGATCGTTCGTTTTAATGAAAAGGACAAGAGACCGTTGAATTTGGAATCTTTAAATTTATTCAACAGTTTGAATTAATTAATTAATTAATTTTTTTTTCTTCTTTTAATTCCTTTGTTTCCTTTGTTAATTCTAGGTCAGAAAAATTTGAGCACATCAAGGGATTTAAAATAGTTATTTAATAAGAAGTTAGGAGGTTCGGTGTGTGATTAGGATTACGTTGAATTTTGCGGCTTCACGTACCGCGGGTCTCTATTTCCTTTCTTCGTACCGTGATCTTGATTTTAGTTAACGACTTTCACCCTAACTGCGCTACTAAACGTGACCATACCGCAATGCTGCGGTAAATGAAAAGCAAACGCCGTGCTTGCTGCGGAGTCCGAAGGATTGGCAAACATCGGTTTCGACGCGCGGCTGATGAAAAAAATTTCAATTAACCGATGCACTAGATCGGACGAGGAGAGGGGGGACAGGATCGACGATGTACGCTTTTCGTACTCTCTACAGCCTGGTCGAAAAAAAAGTGAAAATTAATTACTTCGTCGTTGACGCCAGGACCGGAAGAGGGATCGATCGTCCGCTTGATAGGATTAAATCGCGCGCCAGGCGTTTACCTTTTCCACGTGCTTCTTTCTTTTTATTTTGATTCCTATTTTTATTCGCGACGATACTAACGCACCGCTTTTGCTTTGCTCTTTTTCGGACCGCTGACGACACACAACGAAAAATGATTACCTCGTGACGGAAGGGAAGGGGAGGGAGTGGTGGCTATCTCGCGGGCAAAGTTCTTCTTCCGATGTCTCCCCTGTGGAAAAGGGATTTATCGCGACGTTGAGGAAAGAGTAGATATTTCGAAGGTACTTGCGAAAGTTGAGGCAGCCTTTTATTTTCTTACCAAATTTATATTTTAAAGTGAAATTGAATAATGTGGCCGTGAAGAAGTTATTACGCAACTACGATAATGATTGTAAATTTATTGTTAATGTTTGTATTTTGAATTTTGAGCAAATGGCGGAAAACAAAAATATATATTCCGCTGTGATTTCAGTTCGCGCGAAACTAGAAAACGCGTTCTCGTTATCGTGCTTAAAATCGCGTCCTTATCACGTTCAGAGTCGCTCGTTACGGAAGCTACAATGAAACCATCCGTCCCTCTAATTACAACTTACCCTCCATCTTCTTTTTCTTCTCCTTTCTCTTCTTCTTCCTCTTCTTCTTCTTCTCGTCTTTCTTCTTTATTTCCCATACACTGAACGAGCCTCCAAACCAATGTTCTTGAAACGTTTAAATGATAAGAGGCGCAAGGTGTTAATTACCCCTCGATGAAAAGAATTCTATTTACACCGTTGACGTAGTTTCCACGAGAAAATTACTCCCAGCTTGGCTGAAAATTGTAGCTCTGCGTGTGCAATACCTGAAAACTCCCTCGTGTTTCTTTTTTTTTTTTTTTTTTTTGCAAGTAACTTTTATCAAGATTGAAAAGGGAAAAAATTGTTCTCGATACTTTCTTCTTTTGTTGGTACAATCGCTCGTATTTTCGAGTAAATAACGAGCAGTATAAAAAGAGAGCAAAATCCAATCGAGACAAGCAGACGTAATGCTTGTGTAACGTCAATAGAGGTTTCATCGATGGCAGGAACAAAGAACTGTATTCGACAGCGTTGAATGCATCTGAATAGCAGTTTCCCCGATGGCTGACGAATTAAACCATCCACATTTTCCCTAAATCTCGGTCCGTGTAATTGATGGAACGCTAGTCGAAGCGAGGCGTTAATTTTTTGATCTCGTGCAATTGTACGGGGGCGATGGCGCCGCAAGATTGGGCGTTGGAGAGACTACGAAGCCGCGCGGTGGCTGAATAGTTGAGCGCGATGTAACACAGTTGACTTCACTGATTGCCAATATGGCGATGGGTATAGAGGACCGCGTCTCTCTATCTCGATCAGCGTGGATCCACAATATGCCGCGGGCGTTAATTCCCCCGTGAAACATATTGCACCCCCGCGATTCAATTGTTCCAGTTCCGCGACCACAGTATTTCACGTTGTGCCGTTACGAACGAGTATGCAGCTCATAATGATGTAATTTTCCAAGTGGTGGGCGTATCGTTGTTACCTCTCAGACATGTTCATCATCGATAACGGTGAATTCGAGGATTGTGAGTGCAACAACACGCGAATGTCTCATTGGTCTTGTCTTTGATTACGATCCTTTGTCACGTACTCTCATCTTCAGATTACTCGATATTTTTCTTCTCCCAACACTTGCTTTTAAGTAGCAATTTCTAAATTGCTTTTTTATCTTAAGTTGGATTGCAGTTACAATTTCTAATAAATAAAAACAAGGTGTTGAACGTGTTTCTATCTTGGTTCTTCGTCTCGTAGTAATAGTTGCATTGTCCTCTGTTGTTAAACGATACACGTGGGCATCTATTATGCATCTACGCCATCATTCGTGCACGTGCACGAGTGCGTTAAAATTTGATCAAACGTTCCTGGAGCTCTTGCGAAGCGTTGTTATATTTGCAACGCGAAGAAAAGAATAAAGTAGCCGGTGTCTTTTAAATAATTCCAAAACATACGAGCGGTTCATTTAATGATCAGTGAACGGTATAACGAACCTTTAAGCCACTTTAAAACACATCGTCGGATAAATGGTCGATTTTGTTCAGTCACAAGGGCCATCGCGAACCCGTTGCCAGCCTTTATTTCGTGGCATCGATTATTCAAGCCACTGCGTCACTTTCGTGGAAACGTTTTATCTCAATAACGCTGGCTAACCATCTATCTGAAGGTTGCTAACCCCGCGAGTTGCACAACACGCGATGGATACGAGAACACGTAACTGAAATAAGAGACTTTCAGCATCTAATGACAAGAATTGCGAGAAATTATTCTATGTGCGGCTTGCGTTATTTTCTTTTGCTTGCAGATAAGCTTGGGGAAGCACGTCTCGGTCGATGAGGTAGTCACGTATGCACCACATCCAGAGAATCCGGAGACAACGCTTTTGTCGCAGCAAGCGGTCATTTCTATCCAAGGGGTGCCACTCATAGACCATTTAGAGAAATTATTGACAATGAGGATAGACCAGAACGCGAAAAAGGTAAACACTTGCGCCTTTTAGTAGCTTTCCGTTTAATTCCATCCGTTTGAAAAAGTTTAGCGCAGTATGTAAATTTATTTTTATCAGAACGACATCGAATTCGAAATCGAGTTCATTATGGAATCTTTTCCTGTCTCAAATTGAAAAGAATCGATAGTTTTATTCGCTAGATATTGACGAGTTTCTTCTTTTTGTATAAAGATTTCGCGAGGTCTTGCGAATTGCGCTCAATTCGCGATGCTCAGGTCCGGAAATGGTTTTTACACGGTAACAATATATCTTTGCCCGATTTCGTTCCAGGGACGACAAGCAGTGGAATGGGTCATTGAGAAATTTCAGTCGGAAATGAAAGATATGACAGATGACTTGTTTAGTTATACGAAACAGGGCATGGAAGATCTTCAGAACGTAGCCAAAAAGTCATTCGATGAGTTTCAGAATTTGACAGTGCCGCCGCCGTCACAGTCAATACCAAAGTTATAGCTAATATTTCACGTTAGCTTCGATCTCTTTAACTAACGCTATGTAGATCTTCGATGGAACGATTGTAAGTAAAATAAAATGTTTCGATTTGAAACAATTCTCTTCGTTATGGTTTCGGTGTTTCCAAGAATATATACACGGGGAGAGCACGGAATTGAGGAATTTCTATATTACTGCCTAACAACCGTATAGTCGATAAGACTAATCGATGAGTTGATGTATTAAACCATCATCAGTTAGCTGATTATTTTAGTAAACGTATAAGAAACAAATTATTTAAATGAATCTTTCATACATATATTTAATATATTCTTTAAAGCGTAGAAAGAGACTGATACGCATAATAATTTTTAAATGAAGAGTCAAGGTGTGAACAAAGTTCACAGTGAAAGTACAAATTAACGTTTGTTTACTAATTTATATAGAAACCAAAAAAAAAAAAGAAAAAAAATTTGTATCGTCAATCGTTCCGCAGAAGTCGCCTTAGTGAAAGAGACGTAGCTGCGACAATTAATGAAAGGAAAACATTTGACAATATCGCTTGATATCAAAAGGACTTGTTTCTGGAAAAATACTGTCTATTAATAGTTTCCTATTAATAGCTTCGATAAATAGAAAGTAAACTTTTTAAGGAGAAAGATACGAAAAGTATACCGTATAGTATATAAGGTATAGTATTTTATAGGCAGCAGCCATGTGTTGTCTATGGTGCAGTGAACATTTCTCCAAATGCTTATTTCCTTCATTTTCTTTTCGTTTGAGTATTATTCTTTAGCAGAATTCTTTAAAACGATGTCATACGTCGTCTTAAGCATATTTGCATATATGTTAAATACATCTTCAATGTCGTAGTTAGCTTTTTCATCGCGTTCAACTTTAATCTCGTCGTAAAGTAGTATCGACGATATATATTTTTTTCTTATGATTATTAAATTAGCACGATTCTCTATTAACCTAAATGTATCCACGTGACGCTTGTGCAGGATTTAGTTGCAGTAGTTAATTTAGCATATAAAAATCAATGTAAATTATAAGAAGATGTTAGAACACACTAGATATTTCGCGTCATGTAACGTGTAGTGCACAGAAAATTCATGTCAATTGATCAGGATCTGAGCTTAGGTTTGTCTACTCTGACACTGTTGGATTGGAAATCATGAAAACTGAAATATACGTGTCATTAATCTTAAAGCGAAACAGGTACATCATATTATTTCCTATCAATGTATACAGTCTATTGTTACAATGAAATTCATAAAACAGTAAATGAACAGTAAGAACATGTAAGTCGTCTCTGTTTTAGCCAGTTTATAGCGGTTTGTCGTTATGCGGAAAGAAATAAGAAAATCCAGGTACATCTTTGGAAAGCCAGTTGTACCCAGGTGGTTCGTCGATATTCGTATCATTTGAAACCGTGAACCACGTGAAATGCCTGATATCTTTATCCAACGTCCCTGTCCTCCTGCGATTCCTCCGAGGGAATATTCGCGCGAGTCAGCGAGTGCTTCCACGCGTCGAGAACGAAACACGTCCGTATCATACGGGCCAAGTATCGATTCAACGTTGGAGGACCAGTCTCCACATTCCGTCCGAGCAATTTCCAGCGAAGCGGAATTTCGACCGGGTCATTATTGTTCTCGGCGGTCTAGAGACAATTTCCATCGGTTTACTCAAATCTGGCCGGCCAACTCTCTAGGTAAGTAGAAAGAGAGACAATGGAGAGCGAATGGATGGAATAGAGAGAGGAGGGGAAGGGAAAGAGGGTGGATGGATAGTGGCACGTGAGGTCTGCAATCGTGGCATCGTGCATGCGGCAGGAAACAGACGAAATTTGACATCAGGCTTGATCAGTGGTATGTAAGAGATAATTGATGACGTTACGGTTCATCGCTCGCTACTCGGTTACCGGACATGGACAAATATTGACAGCTTCCGATCACAGAGCTGCTAGTATCCTTTGTAGGTAGCTCACGCGCACGATCCTTCGATGTCTGTTCGGTTTTCCCCGTCGAATCGCTTCGCTTAGTCTCTGGTACGTTAGTAAATCAACGTCCCCTGGACGTGCATGTCGAGCAAGTTTCGTAAATTAAAGTGGCCTCGTTTGTCCCTATAAAGCTTGCCTGTGGCTATTGGTTGCACGTGACGTCGCGCTCCATGCTTTGAGGACAAAGTGGCAGTTTTCCCTTTGCCTTACTTTTATTATAGCCGGCCTGGCCTGTCTTCGTGCCATTTCGCCCGGAACGCAAAATTGCAGCCGGAAACTTAAGTCCGGGAATTTGAAGGGTTCTCGGCCAGCGAATCGGAGAGGAAGTACAGGTGACCGAACCTTCAGCCCGGACATAGTTTCGAGAACCATGGATAACTCTACCGCTGTTGCATTGTTCATCTTTAATTGCCTGTGCGGTTCTCACTTTGGTATTTTGCAAGCGAACGCGTCTTCAAAGGAACTACCGTACCAAATCAGTTCATAACAAGTTTCGCAAAATTCGATTAGGTTGATTCCTCATTCTGGATCGTTTGCGGCGGGACAAAAGATCATTTGTTGTCCAACTGTTAATATCCTTGCACTCTCTGTGCAATTGCTTCCCCCCTCTCTCTCTCTATTCAATCAATTCGAAAACTCATATCGTTCAATTCTATCTATAGCGAACAATGTCATTTGTCCGTTCGACATTTTTTTTTTTTTTATTTTATCGTAGTCGTATTATCAAATAAATCTTCAAGGCCGGCATTTAACCGTTTGAAAATATCCGAGTTGCCTTGTTTAAAAGCTACTCTGGAGCTTTGAAAGGAATACGATTTTCAAGGCTGTCCTTGGCTGCTCCATTTTCCATTCCTTTAGGTTCAGCGCCGGAAGAAAAGGAGAGCTTCAAAGGCTCGAGCGGCTGTCGAAAAGGCTCATGGTTTACACATCGTGACGGTACTTTCTCGTCAAGGCTCGTAAAAGCTCTCAGGACGATCGACTGTAAAAGTCGGCGACACGGTCAAGGAGATCCTTCTTGATTTCCCGGTTCTCAATTCACGAGCTCGTGAAAAACGACACTCCATATATTCCCGGTCACTGCCTCGTATTATCCATTCTTTTAAATTCTGAGCTTTTTCATTGTTCTCTCTTAATAGTTGAAAATTTGATTCTTTTAATTCACTTGTTTAACGCCAAGTCGACGTTTTAACCTTCTCGACGAAATTAAAATGAAATGTCCGCGAAATTTGTACTGAATATTCAGTCTATTTAATTCGTTGTATCGTTTAATCAATTTTTAAATGTTAAATTCGCTCAAACTTTTAACGTAAAATATATTAAAGTTGAGTTGTAGATAGAAATAGCAGACAAAAAAGTCGTCAGAATAGGAAGATACTGAAGATAACTGAAGGTAAAAAAAAAAAAAAAAAAAAAAATGAAAGCGAATGTAAAATGTAGAGATGAGATGAGAGAGGCAAGTTTTGAAAGGCGTTATGAAATAGGCATGACAAGGTTTAAGAGATTATATGTCCTTTTTCCATACGGCTGCTTTTCGAAAACTTGATCAGACGGAATTAGCTCGTGTCAACGTCGTATCATAGGAATTGTACGATGAGAAACAGTGAAGATACGTGTGTGTGTGTGTGGAAGGGGGCGAGGGCATAACGCAGCTACGTAGGTAATAACGAGAGATGTTGAGCTGTTCTAGGCGACGTGGCGCATACGCTCTGCCTATTAGCATACAATTATCTTTATGCTTCTTTTATGATTCATATTTAGTGCCAGTCCTGCCCGCTTTTCGCCTCGTCGGCCAGCGCAGCTTCAAGTTTGCAACTTTTACGATCGCGCTTGTTTCTAAACTTAACGTTCTCTGGTTCACCCCTTATCATCGTTTCTCGGCGCAGCGCTGGTATTCTTGCTAACCGTGCTTTTGCAAATATCCCCTATACTCGCGGGGTGGAGGTGGAGCCCGAAAATTTGTTGTCGTACGTGCTGAAAATCGGCAACAACTATCGATTTCTTGCGCGCTCGTTTCTGCCTCTTGTTACGAGCCGAACTCGGCTAACGACGAAGAAGTTCTCTATAGTTTTAAATTGAACGAAACGTCGATAAAGAGGAATACGTATAAAATATTTCAAATTAAACGGAGTTTAATTGCGGAGTCTTTTGCAGTTTTTTTCTTTGTTTCTTTGTTTCTTTTTTTTTTTTTTTTGGTAGAGATAAGATAATTACACGAAGGTTATGTAGCGTGAAAGAGATAAAAAGAATAGAATTTCATGACATCTCTTCAGTACTCCAATAAGCCAGCATTGCTATCGACTATGACTGAAGTAATTTCATTAATTCAGGTCCATTTGCAGTTGCACGCGAGTTAGTCATTCCGGCATTTATTTTGCGCCATTTCGACTGTATTTCCGACGAAAAAACCAGTCCATTACGATTACGTAGACTATGAACATGTGTGAATATTGAGCGACTTTTTATATTTAATTTTAATACTTTTTATATTTAATCCAGATTTTAGCCTCGTTCGCATTTCCGCGTATCGTTTTTGTGGCATTGCGGCACTATCAGAGTCGATAGAAGTAGATAATAACAATAATTATTTTCTACGATTAACTGGTATTAGACATTTTTTCAAAGATACGCGGGATCTTTCAATCCTCCTAATCGTATCTTTGCTTTTGTTTGTAACTTGTTAAAATTTGATAGATTAGGGAGGAAAGATAAAATTCCAATCTGTTACATAGTGCTCGAGTCGCGCTATAAATTAGTAACGAGGATCGTTTTAGATCGAGGAAAGTTTGATTTCAGTAGTTTTAGACCACATCCGACCGAATGGCTAATAACGGACGTGCTCCGACTACTAATCGGCTTTGTGGAGATTTCCTGATGTACGAAGGGGTATATGGGTTAAATGCTGCGGGGAGAGGGGTCAAAGGGCTAGATTAGACGCTTGTGACGCCTTCTACGAGAGTTGTGCATAATGCATGGCTTCTCGATAGTTCGTCGATTCGTAACAAACGTTCATCCAGTCAAAATACGTGTAATTTATAGCCATCGCGAACAAAATACAAGGGCATGCTTGGCTCAATCGCGTGAACACGGTTTCTACGATCGTAATATCCGACCGGTCTCTTCCTTCTCGAAATCGTTCGTTAATTTTTCCGAATCTTATTCGGAAAGAGGAAATTACGAAAGAAATTACACGGGATCGCTCGGCACGATTTCCCTTTTCTCTCTCTTTCTCGAATTAATTTCGCTCCCAACCACCGGTACCGCCGTTGAGAATTCATTTACATGTAATCCGGCAGTAGTTGATTGTATCTCTAATTGCTTGGCGGCGAACACTGGAACCGATGCTCGTGAAGTTTGTTTTAATATTAATTTCTTATCGTTGATCTTGCACGGCGATGCTATTCCACGAGTATTGCCGGTCTCACCTTCCATGTCGTGCAAACATACTACGAGAACTAGTTGGTTGAATATCTTGCGATCTCTACGAAGCAGGAAGGTGTAAGTACCGTGTTAGTCTTTGGGGTTACGTCGCTGCTCGCAGAGCTAACTAATAGCCTCTTAGCCTCGGCTTAGGGAGGATCATGCTACAGGCAGCCGCACCCTCCATTGCTCTAAGATTCAGACCGCACATCCTCAGCCCTTAGTGCAATCCTTAAGCCACGCCAGGCCTGCAAACAACCGATTTTCTCCCCCCCCCCCCTCAACGTAGAGATGGATTAACGATAATGATTGATTGGATTCCACTCTCTTACCCGTTCGTCGTTCTTTCCAATAGCATACTTGCTCATCGACCTAATCACAAAGCGACTTGAATCGACCAGGTCGATGTTCGTACAAGATTCGTTACGGATTGTTTTTCCCTTCATAGAAGAAAGATTCGAGTTAAAAATTGAAACAACAGAAAGCGTCGCAGCTTGATTAAACCGACCGTGCAGTCTCGTTTTCATTCCCCCGAAAAAGAAGCATAATAAATCGCTCCGCGAGATACGCGGCAGAGATTTTCATTCGCGCGGTTATTCGTTTATTCTCGTCCAGTGTTTCCCGTACAAATGAACCTGTTACCGAAGGGTTTGCGCGGAATTTACATTCGCTCGGGTGGTGAAACAGACCGAAGGAGATTTCCTCCGTTATAGTTCAGCCAACGAAAGGCTGTCTGTGCTTCTTCTCCATAAGCAGACTTTCAGCGAAAGCTCAATCGGTGGATTTGCGGTAACCGTTCGCTCTGTATGCGTTCGCGTATTTCTCAAATCCCTCGTGGATAGCAGGACCGTTTCCTTTCGTTCGTTCCTCTCCGATATCTTTC